TTTCCAGCAATCTCTGAACCACCACCAAAAAGGCCAAACTTGGCTACTCAGGTAGACACAAGATGGGTCATCACAAGAGGTACAGTGCAGTTGGCGGCACACCATGCCTCCCTGTGCACCCTGAGGAAGGGGACATGGACAGCATGGAAGCACACTGTTCTCCTTAGTCTGTCTCAAAGTCTTAGGCCTCAGAGGGCAATTCTGAAGTTGGAGGAGCATTCAGCTGAGGGTATTCTGAACACAGGTCCAGGACTGGCATTTGGCAGTTCCAGAATCACTGATTCTGGAAACTCTGCCCCACCCTCTGGTAGCCCTGAACACTACATAAATTGTTGTGGCTTTTTCAGATGCATATCATCATCACCCCAAATCCTATCAGATAATGAAGCCTGCCAATACTACCTCGTTGGCATCTTAATCCACTATGGAAACTCATTAATGAGTAACACCAAGTCAGGCTCCCCCAAGCATCACCCTGGGCTAAGCACAGGGAAGTTGCACAAGTCATGTCTGCTTGTTGACAAGAAGCAGCATTCTCCAGATGCCTTTGATGATCAAGCCAATATTTCTCACATTGTTTCTTGAATCGAGACTACAGATGCCCCAACATGATTTCCTTCCTAGAGTGGGAAGAAGACTGGGGTGGCAGATGGCCAGCCAGGGCGCTGGGATTCCCAAAATGCCTGATGTTGTCCTGTGGCTGCAAAGAATGCAGGCAGGATAGCCAGAACGGACTTTCAAAAGCTATTTCTACAAATGTACTATTAAGCCTCTCGGTAACATTTGGAGCACAAGGTCTTTCATTCATTCATTCTATAGATAAATAAAATATGAGTATAGAACTTGGAAGTCTAACCTACCCTTTGTCTTTTTACTACCTTCACGTCTGAATGGACTCAGTTAAACACCTAGCCACCCGATGCTGAGCAAGAGGCTCAAGACAGGCATATTTCTGTGGACTTTTCCAGTGTGGAAGGTAAATTTACCAGCACAGCAAAGGCCTACACCGGGCAGAAAGTGGGGCTCTGCTCATTCTGCCTATACCACTTAAGAGAGGATCCTAGTATGGTGAAGGGTGGGGAAGGCCTTTCCATTAAGTCACTAGTGACTTTAAAACCAAGTTTCATTTTGCAAATACTACTTTTCCTTCTTCCTCCTGCTCCCTGCTCCCCAAATCCTGTCTCCTCTGGTTCATACAGCTGCCACTCCCTAGGCCTTCACTTGCTATAGCCTCTGTGCAGCTGTAAGAGGGTGTTATTTGCTTCAAAACAGCTTTGGAACCCCATGCACACCAGAGGAAGATAGAAACTCAGGGGAAGGGAAGGCAGGAGAAACATGTCATAAGGGTTTGAAACAACAGCAAAAAGAATGAGGTGAAACCCCACCTGAAACGGGTTCCTTCACTTTAACCACCTGTGGCTCAGTGTCTTCTGTGTAGACAGCAAGCTGCCAGAGGGCAGGAACCACAGCTTCTGGCCCCTTGAATCTACCCTTGCAAGCAGGCCCATATTCCTAGCCCTGTGCTTTACTACTTTCCATGCAGTAGGAGCTAAAGACAGTTAATGTTCAGTAGTTCAAGTGAAACAAATAAATGTCTCTTGTGACACACAAGTGGTCATTCCTGAGTGTCCTGACTGCTTGTTAAAAACATACGTTTCCCCAACCTGACAGAAGAGGGGCCTGTGAATCTGTACTTTCACTAGCATGACAACTGACTCCTATCAGCAAGTTTGGGAAATGCTGGGAGAACCACCCTCTGTATTCTGAACTACCAGGAGCAAATTCTAATTTGGGAATTTATTAGCTGTCTAACTGGAGTCTCAGTTTTCTCATCTGCAAAGCAAGAATAATAATGTCTACTTTGTAACATCATTAAAAGGATTGTAAAAGCAATTTCAAGAGAATAACAAAGGTCCTGATGTGTAGTGGGTTTTCCCTGAAGGTTCGTTCCCCTTTATCCAAAAGACACTGGGGAACTACTGAAAGCTTCTGAGGTCATGTCCAGATTGTTGCTTTACCTTTAAGCGCCTCTGTGACACCCAGGCAAATGGCTGGCCAGCCTCGTCCATAACACCTCCAGTGACAAAAGATCAAATTTACTATCTCTGGAAGTAGGCCATTCCATTTGCAGACAGCTTTAATCATTAGCAATTTCTTCCTTTTGTTGAGCTGAGATCTGCCTTGGGTGACAGAACAAGTCTAATCCCTTTTCCACACGATAGACTGATGCAATTAACTTAGATAAGGAAAATGAGGAGGAGGAGGTATGGGGAGTTCATTTTGAACACCCTCCACTGGGAGGGCAGCCTCACACCCATGTCCAGCAAGTGGTTGCTATGCATGTCTGCAGTTCAGTAAAAAATTAGGAGCGTCATTTACACAATGGAAGGATTTGAAGTTGTGGAAATAAGTGACATTGCCATTTAGGGGGCAGAGCTAATGAAAGGGATTGAGGAATGGTCAGCAAGGTAGGAAGAGAGCCTTTAAAGAAAAAAAGCAGGTAAGTCATGGAAACAAGTGTGGTGAAGAAGTCAGACTAAAGGCAGAAGTCAGACTCAGTCACTGAATTTGACAATTGAGGTCACCACTGCTCCTTGGAAGACTTGAGTATCTGCTCCTCCGGAGCTGCTTAGAACCACACCACCAAGCTGAAAAGCAAATGCACACTTCTCTTCCTACTGAAAGAGAGGTGATATGGATGGAGAGAGAGCAGCAGCAAGTATAGATGACTCCATTTCCCAACCTGCATGTTAAGACAGGTTTCTCCAAATAAGGCTCTCATGCTCCTTCTTATCTTTCGGGAAAACACTGCCTACTAAATCCATCCTGGAGATTAATCACAGTGAAGAACCCTATTTTCCTGTTTAATCCTGCACTTGCCCAACTTCCTGAACCACTGATTTTTCACACAATACTACATCAACCTCTCAAGGAACTAGTGTTTCCTAGCACAGAATTGGGCAAATGTGGGGAGCAGAAGAGAGACAAGACAGTAGTTTAAGGGACTACTGGTATGAAGGGAATTTTTTTCTTTTCTTTTTAAGAATGGATGAAAGTTGAATATGTTTACATGTGGAAGAAAGGGAGCCAAGTATAGAATGAAAGGCCCAAAACAGGCACGAAAGGAAATAGAACAAGCCTGACTCCAGTAGAGGGGTTAGCTTAGCAAAGGACCTCAGGTCATTGCTTCAGCCAGGAAACATTATTTTTTAATTAAGTCTAGTGATCACAAATGTTCACTATTCTAAGCCATATTTGCTTTGCTCAGAGGATACAGATGTTATCAAGATAAGGATAAGGGTCAATTATGTAAACTGAATAAACTGCTTCACTAGAATCAGAGTGTGTCTCCACCCTCCTCCACAGAGGGAGGGGCGAGAGAAGGGGGTTCCAGGTCTTCCAGCTTGGTAGCTAACACCCCACTGCCCCAGCCTAGGCAGGGCAAGCTCTAACACAGGATAGGCGGAGAGGGGAAATCTAAATATAAAGCTCTCCGAAGAAACTGTCTTGCCTAAAGAGTGTGTAGCTTCCCACACACTCTGTAGTGCCACATCTGTGGGGGCTGAAAGCATGGAACAGAACAATCCTGACCAAGTCACATAAGTATTATCCTTTAGCAGGGGGCCTCAGCACATTACTGATTCTCCCCATCAGTGCCCTAGTGTTAGGAGACCAAAAAGATCTCGGTGACTACTCTAGCCCTCCTCCTGCTCTCCTCCCTTCACAGCAGGAGGTGAGTACAGCACCTGTGAAGAAAGCTGCTCTCAAAACACAAGGAGTGGAGTTGAGGGCTTATTTTAGAAAAGAACCATGAAGCGGTTAGTGGGCTTCAGGCTCAAAGCTGGGCTCCCTCAGCCCCACTCCCGGCAGTAGGGCCAGGGACAAATGACCAACTGAAGAAAAAAAAAATCAAGCACCCTGAGAAGAACTGCAATTAGCCTTTCTGTCAGTTGGCTATCTTCATCTCAAACCCCAAGGACAGAGCAGTTGTCACGTTGCTGAGCAACTAGTATATGCAACCTCCCCTTCTACCCTCCCAGCCAGTATCAGAGGCCACTTGAAAAAGTTCAACCCAAGAGTTTGATACAACCCCACACGTAAGCATTAAATACCCAGGGAGGGAGGCAGCCAGCTCAGGGGAGTAATCCTACCACCTCTTTCTCTAAGGGTTTTAACCTTGGAGAGATACAACATACTTGCACCAACTATTGGAGTTTTGCCAAGAAGCCCAGGCCAGAAAAAGGAAACTATAATTCTACCAAGAGGCCACAGTGTTCATTTAGCAGTCCAACTCTCCAGGAGGTTTGTACTTTGACCTGACAAGTATGACAATGTGCCTAGAGGGTCAGAAGCTCAACCTTGAACAATATCTTGGAATAATTTTCAGCAGCAATACTCGCAAAGCTGCATATCCACCCGCCCTTCCTGGGGAAGGCATACCATCCTGTCGCATGTCCCATTCCCATGTCCCATTACTCAGATATAATGGACCAGTGCAGCAGGGAGCAAGCAAACACAATTTGTTTCTTTTTTAAAAAAGAATGCAACAACCTGTCAGTTCCTTGGTTTCTTAAAAGAGACCCTGTACCAGAACACAGTGGTAGTTGATATGCTTGGATACAAAGCCTGAGGCGTACTATGCATATGTGAAAGGGGGGGGTGCCAAGTTTTCTGCTCAAATCACAGATTGCAAGTACTTTGAACATTAGAGTGCTATTTGAATGCTGACTAGCAACAATCACCCAATAACCTTTTCTGACTGGAGCAAACTAAAATGTTCCCATACTGAGTCATTCATGAGCAAAAAGGAAGAAGCCAAGCCATCTCCTGACTGGCAGGAGATACTACTGACCAGAAAGTACACAACCTGAGCATAAAGTGCAAAGTATTATTGTAGTGCTGGGAGTACACACTCCCTACCCCACTAGGTAAACAAGGGCTGGGTTGGCGCCGGCTCCCCTTGTGCAGCACAAGGCCTGCGGCTCGGAAGTGGGACTCACCTGACATACAAGGACCTCTTCTCACTTGTTCGGAGGGACCCAGACCCAGAGCTCATGCTGCTGTTCATCATTTGTTCTCGCAAGTCATGTATCTTCGACTCAAAGCGACTGTACTCTGTCAGGAAGACAAGGGAAAGGGCAAGGAAAGAATGAAGCCAAGGAGTGGCACTGAGCCTACATGTCAGTGGCCCCAGAGTCAGAGGACACTTGGCCTCAAAGCAGCCAGAGCCAGTCCAGTCAGTCTTTGCCTAGATAGGCAGAGTCTCTCTTCCAAGCACAGAAAAGCAGACTTCTCTCCACTCCCCACACTAATAGAAGGAAAGAACACACCTGAAAAGGGATTAACATTCCTACATATCAAATGAAAAGGCTTTTATCTGCCTTGAAATCTCAGAAATCCTTAAAAAAATAACTGGAAAGAGGTTCCAGTGGAGCCTTCATAAATCTTTAGAACAGGCACTAAGGCCCAAGGAGAGCAGATGGGAAAGGAGAATTTCCCAAAAAGAGGATTTCAGAGAACAGATGGCCCTGAGAGCAGGGTGGAGGGGCTGGATAGGACCCAAGGCCATTAGATGACTGTTAGGCAAAGAAGCCGATTTGTTTCTAGATGCCTTTTTTGAGGGGGGATATTTGAACCCTGTACCAAGGTTAAAACAAACGTCACAATCAGATAAGGAGATCACAAAGCTCTCCTGGGTTATTTCCCTTTTAACAAACAGGGTCTTTGGCTTCAGCATCAATTAAACATTAAAACATAAATTCTCTCAAACCTAGAGGTCTGGTAGTATCTTCCTCCCCCCAAATCGTCTAGTCAGTGGGACCATAAATGCAGGCCCAGCTTGGAGGCCCACTGACCCCATCACAACCACCTGGACCACCTTATCACTCTGTGAAGGTGACTATAGGTTTATGCCAAATTTAAGAAAACCTGATTAGGAAAACTAACTCTAGTCATTATAACTTTATTATAAAAGGCTTTTTATAAGGCTGCTTTGCTGTGGCATTGTCCTAGTACATTTAAAATATGATAGTCATTTCACACACACACACAAACACACGCACATGCACACACACCACACACACACACAATTTCACAACACTTTTCAGGTCTATAATTGCCACATGAAATGAATATACTAAAGCACAGGCTGTGGAAATGGTAGAAAACAGGCATGCTTCATTATGACCAGCTGATTTTAAAGGAAGTCAAATTTTATTCTAGGGATTGAAGGTGGGGGAACTGCTTTAAAAAACAAACACATTTCCAGGGAAAATGAATTCCACAAAAGCATTTTCATGCACCATGGAGGGCTGGCAAGAAGTATCCCCATGTAGTCTGTATGACTGTACAGGCAGAAAACAAAACACCTGTTCCAACACCTGACACTCCCCTTCCCTCAGCAAAGCAACCTGACCTTCAGCTGGGTATAAAGGGAAATGCTAAAAAGCCTAAAGGGGAGGGAATGGGGTTCTAACTGATGGAAATAACCTCTTCTCAACAAAGTTTCTTTTTGTTTAGCTGGTACCAATGAAGCCAACTGGTTAGATTCATGTGCTCTTTCATTCATCATGCACTGATGTTATGGTGATTTATCCTCATTACCTACTCCTGTCCCTGAATTCCTACAGGAAGTAGTTAAGTCACTGACTCACCCATTAAACGTTGGGCAGAAAAAGAGAAACAGCAGCTGGACAATGTCCCTGTTCTGACAGTTACCTGGCAACACATCAATATCAATGAGGTGTCCCAATCTAAAGGTAGAGGGTGGTGACCGATCTGTCATAGAATCACTCTACTGCCCAAGAGCGCAGCAGCAGGGCTGTCTACCTCTAGAGCTGGCCTGCGCACCAGCCCACCCCAGGGCTTGGCCCTCCACGCTGACCCTCTCTAGTCGGCTCCTTTCTGGCCTTCCTTCTCACACACAAACTAAGAGAGCAGGGTGAGGCAAAGAGATTTCTGACCAGGCAGCCCTTTCTTGGGGAAGAGGAGTAAAAGGCAGAAATAGGCATTGAACCCAGAAAAAATACACCCAATCTAACCTTAAGCCGTTTTCCCCCTCTCAACTTGTTTATATATTCCCTTCTTTGGAATTGACTTGCCTGATGAACTCCAACTTAGCAGCAGGTCACAGCAGTTGCTTAGTAACTACGTTACTTAAAAAATCCTTTAAAAAAACAACCACCAAACCACCATTTCCTCAAAGCTCCTAATCCAAGGTTGATAATGCTGGGCCAGAGGGCCCACTTAAAATAGGCTACAGAAAGAGAACAAGGCTATTGCTTTAAGGAATTCACTTTCTGTTTTCTACATGCTACTAAGCTTTCAAGTCTATTAAATTGTGTTTTATTCATTTTTTCCCATTCAGATGATCCCCTTAGAGTTCCAGATGCTCATCAGGTTTCTGGCTTTTATTTGTACAGTTATCTAACGTCCACTAGGGCACAGAATAGCCTCTGAATAAATGATTGTTGGGTAAATCAGGAGCATATTAGAAAACAGTGCCCAAGTTGATGCTTTTGTTCTCAAACTAATAAACCTAATGGTTTATTTAACTGATGGCTGCCAGCTTCACTGAGGGTTTGGAAAGGTAGTTAAGAAGTATTCCCATTTACTTTCTTACCAAGGTTAATTGTTGGGAGCAATTGGGATATGTTTTTTAAACACCCTTCTGAGATGTTAATAACCCACAGGGGGCATCTGATTAACAGACTTTGTTTATATCAAAGAAAAAACGAATTCTAACATAAAAACTGTTTAGAATAGTCTTAAGATACATAGCACCTCATCTTAATATTTAGAGGCATTATTTTCCATGAACAGAAGCTTCACTTATAAATCATCTGAATTTGGCCCTGGCCAGGTGCCTCAACTAGTTGGAGTGGGGTACAGTACACCAAAAAGGTTGTGGGTTTGATCCCCAGTCAGGGCACGTATGAGAGGCAACTGATCCATGTTTCTCTCTCAAGTAGATGTTTCTCTCTCTCCCTTCCTCTCTCTCTAAAAATCAATTTTAAAAAAATAAGCCTTGGCCTGTTTGGCTCAGTGGTTAGAGCATCGGCCTGTGGACTGAAAGTTCCTGGGTTCGATTCCAACCAAGGGCAGGTACCTCCGTTGCAGGCTCGATCCCCGACCCCAGTCGATGTTTCTCTCTCTCTCCCTTCCACTCTCTCTGAAAAGCAATGGGAAAAAACAACAACAACAAAAACATACCCTTGGGTGAGGATAAAAAAAAAATCATCTGAATTCTAAGGCCTCACAATTTTCCAAAGTCTCTCCTCCCCTTCCACTCATAACTAACAATGATATGAAAGTTACTGCCTATGAAGCCCCCCAGACCAGCCTCTAACCCAAAGGGCCCACTTCAAATATGCTACTTTAAAGAAATAACACTTACTACTAAAATCTCAAGTCTACTTAAACTGTGTTTTATTCATTTTTCCCATTCAGATGAACTCAACCATTTGTGACCCACAAAGATGCCCATCGTGAGTCATCGCATCCCTCCTTCTCTTTGCTAATCACAGAGAGTAATGAGAGGCACAGTCAGTTGTCATTCCCCCAAACACAGAGTTTCTCACTGACTACCTGGGCTGCCTCTGAAAGATCTTGGACTCCACCCCAGACACTGACTCACAACCTACTGAACAGGCTCAGGAATCTGCATTTTTAGCAAGCATCAAGGTGATTCTTTTAAAAAATTGTATTAAATATGGTGATTCTGATACCCAATAAAGTTTGAAACTACTGGTCTTGGCTTACAAAATGGAGTTTTGTTTTGTTCAGGAAAAAGATAAGGTAAGTATCATGTGCAGTGTGTCTCATATGGAGGGTAGGGCAAGAGGGTTACCCTACCCTCTTTAAAAAAAAAAAAAAAAAAATCTGACAATTTGATAGCAAATCCCACAGGAAAGGAAAGTACTAAAGGGGCCTCTGTCCAATGTGCCTGCAAAGAAAGTTGATGAGTTTATAGTTTTTTTTGTTTTTTGTTGTTTTAAATATATCTTTATTGATTTCAGAGAGAGGAAAGGAGAGGGAGAGGGAGAAATAGAAACATCAATGATGAGAGTCATTGATGGGCCACCTCCTGCGCCCCCCACTGGGGATCGAGCCCGCAACCTGGGCATGTGCCCCGAGCCGGAATTGAACNTCATTGATGGGCCACCTCCTGCACGCCCCCGAATGGGGATTGAGCCTGCAACCCGGGCATGTGCCCTGACCGGGAATCAAACCCTGATCTCCTGGATCCTAGGCCGACGCTCAACCACTGAGCCACACCTGGCTGGGCGAGTTTACAGTTTTTAATTATAAAAGTAGCACATGATTTTTACAAATCTTTAACTTTTTTCTTTAGAAACTCCTGTATCATTTCCCCATCCCACTACCTAGAAATAATGAGTTAGTATATTTAGTGTGCATCCTTCCAAACTTATTTCCATGTACAGTTGACCCTTCAATGACACAGGTTTGAATTGCTCAGGTCCACTTATACACAGATTATTTTCAATAAATACTGTAAGTGTATTCTATCTTCCTTATGATTTCTTAATAACCTTTTCTCTAGTTTACTTTACTGTAAGAATACAGTATATAATAGATATAACATACAAAATATGTGTTCACTGACTGTTTATGTTATCAGTAATGCTATTAGTTAAGTTTATGTTATCAGTAAGGCTATTAGTTAAGTCTGGTGAGAGTCAAAAGTTATACGTGGATTTTTGACTACGCAGGGTCTAGCATCCTAACCCCCGCATTGTTCAAGGGTCAACCATATATACTGTTTCTATGCATACACTCACAACTAACAGATTCACATGTATCTACTTTTTTTATATTCTCTGGTATGTCATGGAAACCCATCCATATCAGTACATAGAGATCTACCTCATTCTTTTTAATAGCTGCGTAGTATTCCATATTATGGATAGACCATAATTTATTCAGTCATATCTGAACTGATGTACATTTAAATTGTTTACAGATTTTTAATATTACCATCAATGCTGCACTATATATTTCTATGAGTATTGCTATAGCATGGATTTCTAGAAGTGAAATGCAGGGTCAAATTATATTAAAAATATTTGATTGGCACTACCACATTGAACCCCAAC